GGACTAGAAGACTGGCTGATTCTTCAAGTATTAATTTAGAGGAATCCTCAGCTTCGTGTTCTCCAGACAACTTGGACTACAGTTTCCATCATAGTCAAGTAGGTTTGGTAACAGAAAGGTGATAAGAATTCATAGGCTAGCTAGCAAACAGGAGCGTGCGTTGGGGAGCGCCGGAAATCAGAAGAGCAGCTCCCTGGCGTGCATGCGTGCACCGGGAAGCTGAGCTTCTGGTTTCCAACATGCACATCGGCCAGCTGGTCTTCCGGTTTCTGGCGCAAATGCACGCGCAAAGACCAGCTGGCCAGCGTGCATACGTGTTGCACATACACTGGGGAGCTGCTCTTCGGTTTCCGGCGCTCCCGTGCATGCAAAGAGCAGCTGGCAACCCAGAACCTGAAAGAGCAACGGGCAATGGCTGGCGTGACCAGAGAAATGGCTCTGCGGGCCACTTCTGGCACACGTGCCATAGGTTCGCCATCATGGGGCTAGCACATGAAACAATCACGTTGGGGAAAACAGTCCATTGAAAATGAATTGTGAGAAATCAGTTCTGTAAGTGTGGTGCTGATTACAGATTAACTGAAGCATGTCATTTGATTTTGATGAATATGTGAAAGAAAATACTTGGACTTGCCCATGACAGTTGTCAATCATGTTGGACATAAATAACTCTACTTTTCAATTTTATTTTCACCCTTGAGTCATAAACGGACTCATTGTTTTTAGCAAGTGTTGGGCAACTTAGTTGGGGAATTAAGAATTCCTTGCAGATTTTTGGTTATATTTAAAGAAATATTTATTTGCAATTTGAACTTACTCTTAAATTATTAATCCAACTACGTGAAATATTAGCAACTAGGGACAGAATAGAGTTCAACATAACATTACCTCCTTTTAGATCCTGTTTAAATAGCATCTTGCAATCTCCGAATCCTTTGTTTTTCTTTTCCTTGTGGAAGAGTTATATAAAGCGGTATATTTTCATACAAGGCTTTTCTCTTATACAGATACTCTTCAATTTACACAAGTTCACTTAATGACTGTTTGAAGTTACAAACAGCACTGAAAAAAGTGACTTATGACCATTTTTCACAGTTACGACCATTGCAGCATCCCAATGACAAAAATTGGATGCTGGCATATTTATGTTGGTTGCAGTGTCCTAGGGTCTCTGATTCCCTTCTGGGACCTTCTAACAAGCAAAGTCAGTGGGAAAGCCAGTTTCACTTAACAGCTTTGTTACTAACTTAACAACTGCAGTGATTTACTTAACAGTAGTGGTAAGAATAGTCGTAAAATGGAGCAAAACTCACTTAGCAGCTGTCTCGCTTAGTGACAGAAATTTTGGGCTCAGTTCAATTGTGGTCGTAAGTCGAGGACTACCTGTATAAGTTGGTGCAACTTCATGGTTTATTTAATTGTATGCAACTTTTATTACTTTTATGAATAACTCAAGGTAGTCAGTATATCCAACATAACTTTCTCATCCTATTTTCCCCACATCAGCCACCCTGTGAGGTGAGTTGGGCTGAGTGAATGATTTGGCCCAAGGTCGGAACTTATAGATCTTGTTGAAGAAATTCCATGCTGTTTTCTCAAACTCTAAATGTAAACATTTCTGCTTGCAAATAATTTGTATAGGAAATTTACCAAAGAGAAATAAGACCTACAACTAGACTAGAAATTCAAAAAACAGCATGAAAATAACAAACTGTTCCATATTCTTGCTAGGGAAAACTGCATGGATATGTCCATAAAATCATAGTAGTCTTAACTTGTTTGAAGTGTGATTTTACCTGGTAATTTTCTGGGATTTATTTAAAGGCTGTGTTTTATGTTTTCCTGTTTCAAATTAAATGTACTGCTTATCATTAATCAAGCATGTAAATCTGCTATTAAAGCAGCATTTCTAAAAAGCAGCATTCTTTCTTTGTTTTTCATCGTAGTGCTTGTGTGAATTACACCAAGTACAGACTCGAAAAATTCTTTTTGGATAAGGAATGTCTCTTTATGAGGTATAATATTTTAAATAACTCCCCATTTTTTCATTGGGGTGCTTTTGATTTAATAATCTATAAAGGTAAGTCCTCAACTTACCTTTATAGATGTCTATAGATCACAATTGAATCCAAAATGTCTGTTGCTAAGCAAGATAGTTGTTAAATGAGTCACACCTGATTTTACAACCTTTTTGCCACGGTTGTTGAGCAAATCACTTTAGTTGTTAAGTGGATCACAAAGTCACTAAGCAAATCTAGATTCCCTTATTTGCTTATTGGAAGCCAGTTGGGAAAGTCACAAAATGGCATTCACATAACCACATGGACCTCACCCTATTCTTAAGAAGTCCTTAAAGGGGGCGTGCATAAGCGCACCAAGCGTGCCTACCGTCCCTGTCTTTACTGCCCCTATTTATCTGTATTTACTCCCTTTGTTCTTGCTTATGTTCATACTTATTATCTTGTACATGTTTGACAAATAAATAGAATAAAAACTGGGACATTGCAACCGTCATAAACACATGCTTGGTTGCCAAGCAACCGAATTTTGGTCACGTGACCCTGGGATGCTGCAACATGTAAATGCAAGGACCAGTTGTAAGTCGTCATTTTCAGTGCTGTAACCAGAAATGGTCACTGAATGAATGATTGTAGAACCTTTATATGTTAAACACCCTACTGTTGGAAGCTTAGAAATAATGTTGTCAATATGGAATTGGGGGAGTCTGATAGCATATTTGAACTTTGAAGAAGAATGTGTGTTGTCAGGGGGGATGGGACATAA